TCATCCCATTCATCTGCAACATTACTTCCATCCCAACCAACATTTCCCCTTTCAAGATATCCAGTCGCTCCCCTTTCAAGGACAGACAATTGTCAATCCTCCTTCCCCTACCTTCAACCTCATGAAAACCATTGTGCACTACCCATGAGGGAATTTAGTGGGGTTTCGTTGTGGAGATACAAAGTGGAGTGGATTTTGACTTTGAGAATGACAAAGTGAAGCTTTTGGAGGGTGAGAATACACGAGGTGGGAATAAATTATTTGCATCCTATTGGAACTCACATTTAATTTTCTGATAAAGTGAATCACATTTACTTCAAACTAATTTTAAATTTAAGGATAACATTATAATTTAATAATTTTATTTATTAAGATACTTTTCTTTATTAATTACATTTATCGAATCATTTCCAAATTTTTATAAATTTTTTCTTCACTTTTCTTTCCCATACAAGAGACCACACCAAATTTATGATAAAACTACATTGTACACATACACACACAAAAATACATATTATGAAAAAAAAAAACTAAAAGAATAAAATAAATGGTTGGAATCCACTTATATTGTTCCTTACCATTTCCTTTACATAAAACATTTCAAACATTGAATTTCATATGCTTAGAACAAACAACATATTAATAGATTTATTATTAGTCAACTCTCTCACATTCCAAAAAAGGTTTTCAAAACTCATTAGTGCTTTGTAAAAGTCTTTGCTTTGGAGGATTTAGTATTAACTTCTCTTAGTCGATCCCTATTAGATTTCCTTGTATTTTGAAATGGTTCGTCATCCTCTTTCGTATTAGAATTTTCCCTCTCATCAAGCATATTAGCTCATTTAAAAGCTAATTTCATTTCCTCCACAAAAAGAACTTCCTTATATGAAAATAGAGGGTACAATTAACGATATTATCACTAAACTCCCTTAATTTTGTAGGTTATTAGTATAATTTGAAAGAAGAGCAAAAGTATCAAGGAGTTGAAACTCAAGAGGGACAGATAAAGTACTAGAGAAGAAGGTTGAAGAAGGTCGCAGGGCGCCTAGTTGCAATCATTGTCAATAAAATACAATCATGCAAATGATTCTTGCAATCCTCTAGACTAGCAAGATAAATATCTTAAAAAATTTGCACAAAGATCATATCTCCCTTTATACAAACAGAAGATAATTATGACAAAGGAATATCACATACATTATTGACAACCATGGAAAATATAAACGGTTTAGAGACAAAAGGTTGTCCCTATTCCTCTAAATAGCCTCAAGGGATATGAAACCTTGAGGAAGAAATCATACCTATGCCAAACTAATGTAAAAAAAATTGTAAAACATTATTCACTCTAGCCAATCACCAACACTCCATGCATGCCTAGCACCCAACTACCAACCTATGCCAAGCCACCAAAAATCAAGATCCCACGTTCTACAACAAGAAACTTGCAAAAATCAACATTGATCCTAAACCAAGAAACCTGCACAGATCTAGAACTGCAATGTGCAAGACGCACCAAGAAACCATTGCTTCACTCAAACATAATATTTCCTCACCTCATTGTTCTTTCCTCCCATAAGAGTTTTCCAAACTACGTTTTCCTTCACTTTTTTTCACTTTCAACTTTCTTTCCCTTAATACATCCACTCCTTTTTCCTTTAAATCCATCATTTTCATCATTTTCACCCCCTCAAATATTGTCCTAGAAACAAACAATGTCTTATTGATTTTTAAAAACGAATTATAAAAAAACATTTTGTGGGAATTGGTAGGTTCTTCCTACACCCTATAGGCTTGTTGAAAAATATATTTGTCCTTACTGGAGAAAAATAAACAAAACCCTACTTTTCTTTCATCTCCTCCACTCTATTCTTCATCCTCTCCAATAGCAGCAATCACACCCTTCACTTCCTCTACCCCTTGCATTCCTTTTTGGTTGTTTTTCAATGAAGGAGTCGAAATGCGTTTTGAAATGTTTATAAAAAATTTAACACATTCTACATTATGTATTTTAAAATGTATTTCCAAATTATGAAATACATTCAAAATTGTACAATATGGAATATATTTCTGAAATGTGTTCCCAAGATTACTTAATATGAAAGATAAAGTTAAAGAAGTCAAAAACAACTTTTTTTTTTCAAAAACCTACCTCCCCAAGCGTTGTAGCAAAGCAATGACACTGTAAGACAATTTTAATAGTCTATTAAGAGTATGATTTTCACTCTTCAATTAATAAACAACCCACACAAAGTGTATTGGATGTTGTAGGTGTGGTTGTTGTTATGGGAGAGAAAGGATAACATTGATTAGCATAAAAGTAGAAAGGAAATGTAGTTGTTGCTATAGGAAATGAAAGATAACATGGTTGTTGTTGTAGAAAAGGAAGGAGAAGCGGTTATATGGGAGAGTATGGAAAAGGTTGTTGATATGAGAGATAAATAGAAGATGGGGAGGAGAACAAGGAAAACTAAGGTTTTGTTTATTTTTCAAAAAAGGTAAAAATGTCTTTTACACCAAGTATATTGAGTGTAGAGAGAAAATATGAGGTACAAAAAAATGGAATACAGGAAGAAAATGAGCTGCAAAAAATATAGGGTGCATGAAGCACATGCTCTTTTTTTTACCATTGTAGTGTAATTTCATCTCGAAATTACAAGAATGATGCATATCTTTTTAAAAAAAAGTGTGAATGGACAAGTCATGCCAAGTTGAAATGACTTCACTCTTAATAAACATAAAGTCATGACAACATGTGATAACTTTTTGTGAAAAGTTGAAGTTGTCAGCTTGAGGCGACTTTGATTAAAGTTAATCACAGACCAAAAGTAAAGTTGTGTCATATTATGACGACTTCAATTTTGTACTAAAATGAATTGAAGTTGTACCATGCTATGACAACTTCAGTTCTCTGCATTAAAATGAACTGAAGTAGAAGTTGTCACAGCTGAAGGTAACTTTGATTAAAGTTAATCACAAACCAAAAGTAAAGTTGTGTCATATTATAACGACTTCAACTTTACACTAAAATGAATTGAAGTTGTACCATGCTTTGACAACTTCAGTTCTGCATTAAAATGAACTCAAGTTGTATCATCTTATGACTTTAGTTATGTATAAAATGAATTGAAGTTGTGTTATATTGTGACGGCTTCAATTAACTTCAATTATGACCCATTCTTAGCATAGTGTTCCACACCATTTTATACTTATTATTTTTAGCTAAATAAGAATAAGTTTTTTATTGCATTAACTAAATTCATTGAATGAATTGAATATTAAAGTAAGAGATAAATATTAAATAGAGGTAAAGAAAAGTATTTTCTAAATTTGATAAATATTCTTTAATTGAGTGTATAAAAAAAAGTTAAATGTATTGAAAATGAAATAAACAAAGTGCATTCCAAGATCTTTTACAAGTGATCAAATTTTACTATCTATATGGACAATTACTTCTCTTATGTCCTATATGAGTCTCATAAATAACTTTTTTCTCAAATGTGATAGATAAATGTTGATTTTTTTATTATTCAAGTGTAAAAAGTAAAAATAAATTGAAGTTGTACCATGAGTTGTACCATGCTTTAACAACTTCATTTCTACATTAAAATGAACTGAAGTTGTGTCCTCAAATCGTGTTATGTTATGACGGTTTCAATTAACTTCAATTATGACCAATCCTTAGCATAGTGGTCCACACCATTTTATATTATTTTTAGCTAAATAAAAATAATTTTTTTATTGCATAACTAAATTCATTGATTGAATTGACATATTAAAGTAAGAGATAAATATTAAATAGAGGTAAAGAAAAGTAGTTTCTAAATTTGATAAATATTCTTTAAGTGAGTGTATAAAAAAAGTTAAATGTATTGAAAATGAAGTAAATAAAGTGCGTTCCAAGATCTTTTACAAGCAATCAAATTTTACTATCTATATGGACAATTACTTCTCTTATGTCCTATATGAGTCTCATAAATAACTTTTTTCTCAAATGTGACAAATAAATGTTGATTTTTTTTATTATTCAAGTGTAAAAGTAAAAGTAAGAGTTATTAAAATATACAAGAAACTTAAGGATAGAATTATTATAAAACTAAAGTCATTACATATCATTACTTTAGTTCATTTCATATAAAATTGAAGTCATCACAACATAACACAACTTTGATTCATTTCAATACAAAATTAAAACCATCGTAACATGACACAACTTCAACTTCATTTAGATCCATTTCAATGTAAAATTGAAATTGTTACAATATAACATGACTTTACTTTTGATTTGTGATTAACTTTAATCAAAGTCATCTAAAACTATAATAATTTTAACTTTTCACGTAAATCATCAAATGTTATCAATACCTTCGATTTATCAAGAACAAACTTGTTTCAACTTAATATAATTTTTTCATTTTAAAGTCATGTCAACTTGACAAGACCTTTCTATTTCCAAAAATTTTCAAAATCCACACCATTATTGGAATTTCAAGATGAAATTACACTGCAATGATAAAAAAAAACGAGCACCTGACTTGCTAGCTTTCTAGTGTTCGATATTTATAGTGATTTTAATTTAATGAATAATCCATGTCCTCCATAATGCAAAACATTTCTTCTTGCACTTCGATAGTTTAACCTTACACCGATGACAAAATGACCAATTTGTTCTTTTTCTTACACCCGTTATACTACCCCTTTACAAGTTCGTGAATAAAGTTTCATTGGTTTTTCCATCTACAAGTATAATTCCTCTCAGAGACTCCGTCAAAGCGAAAAATCCCTTCATCTAACACTGCTCTTCCAATCGGGTGTTGTCTTAATAATGTGTTAGGTAATATATCGATCATTTTACGTATACATCAGATGCAAACATTGAAGATTAAGAGTATGCATTCAGATTAACCTATGCAAGAATACGTAACGATTTTACCTTATTGGTGAAAAGGATACTGCTGAGTATGTCAACTGAAAATACACAGAAAATAATAATAATAATAATATAACCCGAAGTTTCATTCTCTTTCAAAACCATCAAATCATAACAATAAAAGTAATCTTTGGAACTAAAGCAAATAATTTGAATATATAATCCCTACACAAAACTGAAAAGTAAAAAATAAACAGCAAAGGAACATAAGTCTGTGACATAAAACTTAACCAACAAAGCCTAACAGCTTAGAATTTGCTCTTTAAGCACGGGCAGGAGCTCCTACCCCAGCAGGTCGCGGGGCTTGACCAGGCTGACCGGGCCTTGGTGCATCATCCTTCAAAAATACAAATGAATTCTTAAAAAGAGTGAACAAGAATAAGGGTTACATTAATTCATGACTCATAATAAAGATACATAAAACAATTAAATATAGCACATTTTACTAATGTTAAACAATTTCCCATTGTACATTAAAAGAGACAATGCTAGAATGAAAATTAAACTAATAAGATTTCTATAACCATTAACTAAATCATTAATATATAAATTTCCCAACAAAACAAATTCAGATACAGTTCATAATTACACAGTCCACATGTAATTCGGGGCCAAACTCAGATACAGTTCATAATTATACAGTCCACATGTAATTCGGGGCCAAATTCAAATACAGTTCATAATTATCCAGTATTGTCAAACTCAGATTCACAATAAGAAGAATAAACCACCAACTTAGCCTCTAAAATAACACCCTATCTCTAAAATAATGCTCTAAAATATTGAACATCAAATATTGAGTCTTCTAAGGTACATCTTGTACTAAAGTGTTTATAAAATTGGGGGCCTAACATAATGAAATTATTCAAGTAATCCTAATATATTGAATATATCCCATATTATAGTTTTAGTTGATTTATCCCAGCGTACCAAATTTGAAGAGTTCTAAAATTTTGAGAAATACTTGGCATGGTCAATAATACTAGGCACGGTTCCAAATACCACCACTACTGAACAAGTTTTTAAAATTTTTGAAAACTAAATAGCAGAAAGGGTAGTAGTTCAAAAATTAAATTTACTCCAACATCTAATAAATTTACACCATGGTATGGAATAGAATAGGTAAGACCCAACGCCATCAAGGAACAAAAAGCAAGATAGCATTAGTTTGAATACAAAAGAAGTTTCAAGAATACAATCGTGATTACACAATGGGAACTCACATAAGAATCAATGTACAAAAAAAACTACTTTTTAAAATTTTCATTTGTGGAGCATATCAGGGTCAGCTTGAATTTTTAAACAATCAATCAATGAAACACTAGGACTGTGTATCTGTACAGAAAACATAAATTTATCTAAACTATCCTTAATTCAGCAACACACTAACAAACAAAGACCAAATCACATTGAAAACAGCGGAATAAAAAAGGGAAAAGGGTCATCAAAGGGTTACCCTGCGCCTGATGAATCGCTGAGGAGGGTCACGCTTCCTCCTGTCCGTGCGGGATCGAACCCTAACAACGTGAGAGTGGATGGCACATGAAACACAGTACTGCATCTTCACATACAATTTGGGAAGCGTGTATTCTACACATAACAATTAAAAAGGCAAAATAAATAACAAAATCATAAGTGGATTTTTCATTAAAAACAAGAAGGTGAAGAATATTATTATTACGTTCATAGACGCAAGCCTCCTGCACATCTCTAACTGCAGCCTGCTCAACAATGTTCCTCACCAGAAATCTCTTGATTGCCTTGTCCTGTTTTGATTTTGCATAGAGCACATAATCTTAATTACAATCCTACACGGGAATTTGAAGGAGGGAGGAAGTGAAATCAAAACCTTAGGGCAGCATTTGCCGCAGTTGGAGCATCGGATGAATTTGACGTGGCCGCGGCCGTGCTTGTTACGGCCTCCATTCCTGCGCTTGAATGTCTGCAAGAAAATGGCATCCAAATATGAGAAAAACAAAAAGGAAAAAGAAGGTTCTAGAATTGCAGAAACGGAGATCCAACCATGGTGGTTAGCGGGAAGACGCACGCTCTCCTTCTCTAGGGTTTCGGTGCAGCGGCTGATATAGGTTTGAGAACCACATACTCAGTTTTATATGAGGTTGTTGTTAACTGGTTTTGTGTAGTCCACTGCTCAGTTAAATTAAAAATTAAAAATAAATTAAATTGATGTTTTTCAAATTACAAAAAAATACTGTAAAGTATAAATAAAATGAAAGACCATATTATATTATATTATATATATATATATATATATATATATAATTAAATTCAAAATAAAATATTAACACTAATATGTGTTGTATCTTTTAATAAAAATCTCAAATTTAAGTTTTGTGAATGTAAAAAACATTCCGGAAAATTTAATATATCTTTTACACAATAAAATGATGATCACAGCATTGGTCAAGCTTTAGGAAATAGACCAGATACTGAAAAATGAAAGAAAAAATATTATAAAATTACTCGATTTTATAAATTTGAATAACTGCACTTTTCATGTTTTATTGTGTTTAAATCAATTTCTCTCACGGGAGGTTAATTTTATTCTTAAGTACAAATTTGGTTTTGAACTAAATGACTCCAACAAAATTAAAATTAATCAAATGGATATTAGTTATAAAATTAAAGAAAAAATTATAATGATAAGATTAATCACATTTGTGATGGATATTATATAATTTGTCATTTGATATGTATATTTACTTTAATTTAATTATATTAAAAGAATAGTTTTTTTACTTTTTAAAAATTATTATAACCACAAATTTTGTTCATATAATAAATAATTAAATTTTCAAAATTGATATATTTTAGTTTGCATGATAAAATGAAACACTAGTTAAAAGACATTAAACTTTGAATAAATATTAATATAGCAGAAGGTTTAGGAATAAAAGTCTATATGCGATTTTTTTTTTAAATCTAATATCTCAAATAGCTTGAACTTACTTAGTGAAAATACTTTTAGAAAATTATAGAAAAGTAAGGGGAATTTGGTCAGTGAACGAATCTAATCTCACTAGTCAAATTTTAAAGATTTTAGCTTCAGGGTTTGAGTTGTGGGAAGAATATAGTCTTCATTATGCAAATATATCTTTGTGAGTATATTTGTAAGTGAAAAGAGAATTCGCTCAGCGAATGTGATGATTGAGTGAATTGTTGTAGTTTGAAATATTAGATTTTAGTGGTTGCAATGATAAGAGAATTTGCGCGTGTGATGATGGGATGAAATGTTTTGGAGTATTAGATTTTAATGGTTGGAGTTATGTTTTTGGGATGAAACTTGGTTTTTAATATCAAAATATTTTGAGACATGTGATTGAGTGATATTAAAATTGGGTGAATTGTTTGAATATCATCACTTTTAAAGATAAATGTCATATGTTATATTATAGTGTTTGCATTGAAGTCATTCTAATTCTACTAAACTCAAAGTATGAAGTTAAGATAGTGAATATAGTTATCAAAATTGTGTGTCAACTCGTTCAAGTTTATGTTCTCACACCCGTAAACCAATTTAACTGGTAGGTAGAATTATTTTTTATAGACTTGTGTATATTTGCGTGAAATCGCGAGTTTAAAGACGATTCAGTGAGCTCAATTGAACATTAGAAGTTAGATAAAAATGATTTGTTTCTAGGTCAATATATATGCATAACGCATATATGGAATGATTTCATGATTCATTGGTTCTCTTTTGTAATAATTTGTCTGCTTTAAGTGTTGATGTTGATTTGCCTATTACACCAACTAATTTCTCCTTATATCTTCTTCGCACTACTCCGTCTTTGTGTTTTTTTTATTCTCCTCCACTTTTTTCGTATTTTACTATTTTTGGTTTCCTCAGCGGACATGTTAGGGTTTTAACTTTCAAATTTAATCACCTCTTCTTATTTTTTACCATTGGACCTCCCTTTTACCATGATGAACTTTTAGGCCAACATTTAAGTTCACCAACTTTTTTTATGTGAAGTATAAACTATAATCAATTAAAATTACAATAAAAGAATAATAATATTAGACAAAAATATTTAAAAATAAATAATATAATAAATTAATAATGATAATATTATAAAAAATAATACAAATTATTTATAACATTATAAATATTAAATTATCATGTTATTGAGAAATATTTTATATGAAATAAACTCTTACAAATTTATTATTCGAGTTTATGAAATTTTCATGAATTTATGTAAACTATGGAGTTTGACAACCTTAGTTATGAGAGTTGAAAGAAACTATTGATATGTAAGATTATTACGAAATAATACCATAACTTAAAAGAATATAAGAAACTAACATTGTCATGAAGACATTAAACTGAACAAAACTATAATCAAACATTATAGTTATTATATGGTTGCACGATGTGCAGAAATTTTATGATCATATAATACATGTGTATTTTGAAATTTAAGTCTAATATATATTTATGTTTTAGTGAATATTATATGATGATTGAATGGTTTGATGATGTATATTTAAAGGGTTGAATTAGTATGTTGTTGTTTGAATTTATAAATTGTTAAAAGAGAAAATTACTATTTTACCCTTTTGCCTAAGATCTTATATGCAAATAGATGATAACGAAGTAGAATAAATGTGCACAAGTGGGAGAGATGTGTGACAATATGCTGAAAGCCTCTTTTGATAGTCTTTTGATAATAGATTGTTACTTATATATATATATATATATATATATATATATATATATATATATAATTTTTTTTATTGTATATATATCTCATATTTTATGGAATTTTAATGTTTTGAAAACTTAAACAATGACTTTTTTTATAAAGGGCTACAAAATATATTTTATATAATTATGTTTTTATTGATGTTTATTATCATAATTTAATGATATAATTAGTAATATAGTTATGTTAACTATAGTAATTTTACACATAAATCTCAAAATAATCACATCTTTTTAATGAAAATCAAAATGAGGTAAAATTAGAAGGAAAAAAACATAAATTTGAGAATATAACAAATTATTTCAAAGTTTCTATAAAAGAAAATACCTCCTAATTTTTTTTATTCAAATATTAGCCTTCTCTTATGCTAATATTTGTTCAAAGTTTATATTTTTCTTTGTTTGTTATTTAAAATAAACTATAGCTTTTGTTTGATGTCTTGCACGCTATGTAAATTTTGAAAATATAATTAATTATTATATAAGGAAAAATTAGCGTTATAATTATTTATTAAAAAATAAAAAAAATTGTTCTTACCATATAATCAAAGTAAATATACTTATCATATGACAACAATAAAATTTAATAATTCTAATTACAAAAGAACATTAAATACTTCTTAATATAAACAAGTAATATAAAGAACCAAAATAATTACAATTATAATTCATTTATGTCAGAGATACTTATTTCAAAACCAAAGTTAGGAATAGAATCAATTGTGTGAGAGAAATGGATTTAAACAAAATAAAATATGAAATTGCAGTTGTTCAAATTTATAAAATGGAGTTATTTTATAATGATTTATGTTTTCTTTTCATTTTTTGGTATCTCGAATTTTCCACAAAGCTTATTTTGGATCATCATGTTGTTGTGTAAAATATATATATTTTTATCGAATATTTTTTAATTTACAAAACTTAAATTTGAGATTTTTACTGAGATATGCAAAACATATATATTAGTGATAATATTTTATTTTAAATTTATATATATATATATAAAATCTTTTCGGTTGGCGATGGTCAAAAAAAAACATGCTTTTGTGAAGACGAGGATACTTATTCACCAATCGAGTTACAAGGTATCTAACATATTGATACCTTAAAACGTTTTCCGCAAAGTGGCGACGACGGGTATAACTTCTAAAATCTTTCCATTTTTCATATATATATATAGAAGATAGATATCTATATATAACAGGGGCGTCCA